ATCCAAATCAAACTTTGTTGTGCGTGTCAAATTGTATATGTATCATTTAATTCTTGACTTTTTCATAATTATTAATTTGGAAATTATCCGAATTTACAATCAGTGAAAAAATATAATTTCTATATATTCTGAACTACTTGATTCGGAAGGTAAAAAATATATTATAAATATCGAATTAATAGTTCGATTTTTTTTGTTTGATTCACCGATTTAAAAATATATTAAATTATTTTTCTGAGTTTTTTCATAAAAAAATATGAAGATAATATTATCTTTCATCGTAAATATATACTTGCTTCGTATTTGGATCAACCAAGAAAGTCGGAGAATGGTGATTTAGGTAGTCTTTGTATTAAATGATGGATTTGAGAAGGTAAAAAATATGGATTTATGGGAAATAGGAAAGTGAGAATATTTGAATTAAGAAAAAGATATTAGGAATTATAGGAAAATAAGATGAATGTTTGTCAGTCATGATAAAAAAAATTGTTTTGATGAAAAATGGAGAAATTATTAATTTGTCTTTATTATTATTAGAATTTAAAGTATTATAAATATTTAAATTATTTTTATTTTAATTAGTAAGATAAAAATAATGATTATTATTATTATTACAATTATTATTATAATTATAATTATTATTCTTATTACATATTAGAATAATTATTAGTATTATTTTTAATAAAATAATATTTATTATTTATATATTTATTATTAAAAATATTCTTTATTTTTATTATTATTATTATTAAACTAAATTAAGAATTGTCAAAGGTTGAATATTTAATTAAAAAAATTATTTACAATTAAAATAAAATAAGATGATTAATTAGTGTTATAACTATAATATTATAATAAAATAAATAAATTATGTTTACTTTTATTCAAAAGATTATTGAAAGTGTTTCAATCTTTACTTTAAATTATCAATTTTTTTGATTTATTGTCTTAAAACCTTAGTTGCAAATTACTCTAAGAATACTTAATTTCTATTAGATTTGCTTAATATTATCCTAAATTTATGAAAGCATTTACATTGTACTAGGTATCCTCTCGAATGTCAATTACATCATCATTAAGTAGTACATAGTTTTTATCATCATCACGTTCATTCTTCTAGTTTACTCTTCCATATTGTCATTCACATTAGTAACATTAAATTTATTCAACCATCTTTTAGCAAAATAATATGTCCAACCTAGGATACACACATAAATCCATAGTTAACACATGCATATTATTAAATTATTTAAGACTAACACAAAATCAAAATAATTATATTATTTTTGCCTACTTCTTGAAGCACCACGGACCAATACTAGTAGAACCACGAGCATCACACAACAATCGACAACACTCAGAGACCACTAACACCACCACCAATCTACCACAAACAACAACCACATCATTGCACCAATACCACACATGTGACCAACCGAATACCATTTGTAGCAAACCACGCAACGAACGACAACACCAACACCAGCATGACCTGATACCCACACAAATGCATAACATACAACACAACACGCATCAAATTCACAATATAAATCACACATGATAATCGATTTCCTTCAAATTAATGTGGTTGAGAATCGATTCTTCTTCAAATAAATGTGACCGAGAATCGATTATTCATGCATTATTGGTGAGCAAGAATTGATTCTCGTTGAATCAACCTTGTAGATAATCAATTTTATGGGCATCGAGAATCGGTTCTCTACAATCATTCTCACCTAAACTTGATTTTCTTTGTCTAAAGACTCGATTCTTTCGCACATAAATATTTGTTGAATTATTGGCAAGCGTACCAAAATTATCAATCGTAGTATAGTATTTCAATTAAATAAAAGTCGATCCCACGAGGAACGGTTTTAATGAAAATTCCCAATTTTATGTTTACTAAGTAGATTAAAACAGAATGAGTTTTGCATAAAGAGTTGATTTGAAATTAAATGATAAAGAACTGTATATTATTTAGAAAATATTAATTAAAGGCACTTAAGATTTACTTCCTTTCTTATCCCTCTTTTGTAATGACTATGTCAATTAAGAACATAAATTAACCTAACAATGTTGATGTCACCTACCCAAATCATCCATGTTGATTCCTCACACATGGAATTCATAAGAAAACCTAATAAATGTTGATTCCTCACACAATTAAGAGGTTTTCTAGCATTAGGCTTATGGTGTTAAGCAATTGATACATTCATTTCATTCCTGACAATTAACATAACAAATATTCTTACCGTGATCTAGGGTTCAAGATATATTTTTCAATCATATCCCAAACATCAAGAATAATTAATTCTAAAGCACAAAGGATAAGAATAACAACATCAAAACATATATTAATATCTCAAAATATCACCATGATACAAAAGAGTTCAAAGAAAGTACACTCAATCCCCAGAGAATGAAGTTAAACACTCATGTGTGGTCATTACAATGCTCCAAATGTGAAAGAAGTGAAGAATTGATCAAGATTGGATGAAACCCTAGCAGTAGTCGTGCCTCTTTTCCCCAAAATCACTTTTTTTTTTTCTCAAAACACATTTTCTCTTTTTATAAGAAAAATTGGGCTTTTAGGCTTCACGTCTTTCGCTTAAGCGACAAAACGCTCGCTTGAACGAGTGAACTCCAGAGAAGAATAACTAACATTCGCTCAAGCGAATTTTCTTGCGCTTAAGCGACTAACTTCCAGAGAAGAATAACTGATATTCGCTCAAGCGAGAGTCCATCCCGCTCGAGCGACTTTTATGCTGGAAATTTTCTTCCTTCTTCCAGTTTTATTCCAATTATGCTGACAATTATGTTCCTTACTCTTGTATCAAGATATTCTCGAATTTATCCTATAATGGAAGAAAAATATATTAGAATTATAAGTTAAGTGATTTCATAACAATTCAAGACATAATTATATCAATTTTTTATCACTTAACACCAAGGTACATATGAATGTGATCCAACACAAAGCTACACACAAATCAACTACCACCAATACTCAACTTCACAAACAAATCACCACTTTCTTTCAAATGAGTTGAGGAACAACAACTCTCAAACCTTAAAACACACAACATCAAACCACTCCATTTACGGGTCTTTAATGGTGCATTCAAAACTTGAGCTACTATGGTAAACAATGTTGTTAGGAATCTTCATTATGCCTCGTTAGTGCATATAAATGTACAAAAATATCTAGGACGAATGTTTGTATGTATGGTGTGTCTCTGTCATGCACAATGTTATGTTATGTCAAGCAAAATGAAAACACCTAAAAATTGATTCAAAACAAGAGGAGTAACATTGTAAATGCACACGAGATGCTCGTTTCATCTCCTCACCTTATTAAAAAGTGTTTGATCTAATGTTTACCTCATGTTAATGCTTTCAAGTCTATTCGAATCATTAAAAGCAAATACAAAATTTACTCACTCTTTTATATGCATAAATAGTAAATCATTAAATATAAACACAACATTACTCATTAAATGAAACAATTTTTATAAAGGATAATGTAAACACCCAAAAAAAAGTTAAATTCACCCGTTCACCCTCTCTCACTTTCAATTTTTTTTTATTATAAAACTAATTTATCACTTTTAAATTTAAATGAAAATCAGGAAATAATGGATGTTGGTTTAGTGTTTAAAATTTTGAGGTTGTACATAAGACATTTTCCTTTTGTAAATGTGGGTTTTGAAAGTGACGGTGGTAGGGGAGGCTATCGCGTTTAGTGTTTGGTGGTGGGTATGTATGGTTCGTTAGAGGTAGATGATTAATGAGATAAGAAATTGTACATTGATCTTTTTTATGAGAGGGAAGGAATTATAATAGGGAAGTGTGTTGGTTATTACATCATAACGAAATGAGAATTGCAAGCAAAGTGATGGTCTTTTCAAAAAGGGAAAAGATTTTTTTAACCCCCATTTTTATAAATATTCTATTGACAATTTTAAAATATTTATTTTTTAATTGATGAAAATAAAATAAAATAAGATAAATAATAATAATATAAAAATCTAAAAATTACTTCTCGAAATTTTTATCTTTTGTCAAAATATCAGGGCACTCTTATTGTATTATCTGATAAAAGAGTCCAGCTCAAGTTTATCGTGGGTCTCCTCTTCCTACTCTCTAATACTAAAAGAGTTTATTGTTACTGTGCATTATATTAAAAAGATTTTATTTTTACAAATTAATTAAATAAACATTCTTAAAATGAGGACTTAAGTCTTGTTTTTCTTCCCAATTTAATTGAAAGATTCACAAGAGAAGACGAGTCTATCATTTTCCATAATTTCAATAGTATAAGAAAAGGAAAAAAAAAACTTAGAGGCTTTCTTATACATTCAAAAGATATAATAAAATACATTGATTTATATCTTTATTGAAAGTACTGAGCACATCAAGATCAATGCATGTTGCTTTTAAATAGAGACAAGATACGTTAGTCATTAATTTTTGCCCACATGCATTAAAACTCAAGCGCATTCATTGTTGACAATTAATAACTCTACTACTATCTAAATCAAAATAGTCACTCGTTTTCTAATAAACTACGATATACTTTCAAACTTCGTTCTTCCACTGGTCTTACAATAGTAGTGATAATGAAGGAGGGTGTCAGACATTCTGACGTCAATACCCAAGCAAGAGGTTCATCAACCTTGAAGAAGCAAACGCGTTTCCTGCTGTTTCGCTTTGCACACAGGATAAGGAAATATATTAAATTCCAGAAATCACATGATCCACATTTTCATTCAGAAAACCATACACAAAAACGCAATTAAACATTGGTTCAATTCAAATTCATGCAGATCTTAACATGACAGCACGTGCATGTGGATCGTGGGAACCTTCTATTTTATTTTACTAAACGAAATAAAGTGACAAAATTATGAATTCAAATGACCACATAAACAAAGTGAGACATTGAAGATTAGAAAAGTGTGAATGAGATCAATCACTATCACAAGTTGACATAGCAGTAATTAACAAGCTTTGAGTGGCTTTCCACAAAGACAATCGTTGTAAGCAAACGACGACGCATCGGTGTTACTGTATGCGCTAGGAATTGGGCCGCAGAGGTGGTTGTGGCTAAATTCCACGTACCCAATGTACGAAGCAGAAGACATGGATTTGGGTATTGGGCCTTTGAGGTTATTATACGATAAATCCAGTAACGTGAAATAGCATGAACCCCCAAACGTATCGGGTATACTACCCTCTAACATGTTGTGGCTCAAGTTCAACTCACTAATACTCGAGCCGAAAAGGCTCGCTGGTATGCTTCCAGAAAGCCTGTTAGTATCCAACTTCAACGTCGACAGAACTGCCATTCGGCCCAAAGCTTCAGGGATGGGCCCAGATAAATGGTTATTTGACAGATCAAGATCCACGAGACGGTATATATGACAGATTGAAACCGGGATAGGCCCACTAATTTGGTTTCCGCTTAAAAGGGCCCGACTCAGCATCTGAAGCTGGCCCAATTTCTGTGGGATAGGCCCGGAGATCTTGTTGTTACGGAGGTCCAGATGCGTCAAACCGGTCAAGCTCGTCAACGTCGCGGGGATTTCGCCGGCGATGAGGTTATCGGCGGCGCTTAGCAGATTCAGCTGCCGAAGCTTCCCGATGTCAGCGGGGAGAGTGCCGGAGATGCGGTTTCCGCTGAGGTCGATGATGCGGAGGTAGGAGAGGGAGGAGATGCAGCGAGGCAGCTCGCCGGAGATTCCGTGCCAGTCGGTGATGATGAGGCTGGAAAGGTGAGTGAGCTTGCAAATCTCTGGGGAGATATAACCGGACATGTAGTCGGGACGGTAAGGTTTCTCGAACGTGGTGTAGACTGGACCGGCGCGGAGGCTGATTTCCGCGACGCGGCGAGAGTTGCGGTCGCAGGAGACGCCGCGCCAGTTGCGGCAGCAGTCGGTGCCTGTCCAGGAGTTGAATATTCCGCCGTGAGACTCCCGGAGAACTGATTTGAAGGCCAGCAGCGCCACCAGGTCCGAAGGCGGACACGAGCGAACTGCAGAGGAAAATGCGAGTAGTAACAGCGCCATTAGCGGCGTGAACCAAATTTCAGGCATTGTGTTGTGGTTGGAAAGGAAGGAAAGAGAAAATTTAGAGATGCGCGATGCCTGCATGCATGAGAGTTAGCGACCTGACATGGGGATTTATAACGGTAACTTGACAAGTACTTGTTTACAGAATCTGGCGATTTTGCCCCTTTCGTCAAACGGTTATTTATTGTAACTTTTAATTAAAAATTATTATGTGTTAATTTATTATAAAATGCTCGCTCAGTCAACTTAATTTTATTTTTTTCAAGGTAAAATTCAATGATTAAATGGAAATCCTAAACTATTTGGCACAGTCAACCTAATTTGTTTTCTTGAAAAATAAAAAATATGAATGTGTCTGATTTAATCTTTCAAGGAAAAATTGTTTTTAAGTTTCTTTCTTACTACTTTTATATTTATTGGAAGTAGTACCATGTTAAACTCTATTTTAAAAATATAAATTTAGATATTATTTTATAGTAAACATAAATATTCTGTCATGAGTATGTGATAATAGATCTGGTCTTATGTTGATTATAATGCATGTATCATATATTGTTTGTTTGGAACTTTAATTTATCACTATACTTAATATGTGTTTATAATTAAGAGGAAAATATATATATATATATATATATATATATATATATATATATATATATATATATATATATATAACTCTTAAGAACATAAGACTTATGAACCTATGATAGCAATGGCCCTGGAGAGGCAGATGGGGCCCTTAGCACAGTGGAAAAGAGGCCCAAAAGAGGACACAAGCAACCCACTTACCTTTGTGACTACGTCACCAAATAACAATATCTCTAAGTGATTTAGTATTTCTTTCTTTGTTGAGTTGTAATTTCTGTTAGAGATTCCCTTTCTAGTATGTGATATTTTCTGTTATGCCAATCATTTGATGGCTGAATATTGTTAAATACTGACGAAAGGAATGAAAAGGGCAAGAAAAACATTTTCCTTTTTTCTCTCTCTATTCTTCTAGGAGGTCCCTTGTCCTCGAAACCAAGGCAATTCTCTATCCCTAACAATTTGGTGCTTTCATTGAGCTCATTTCCATGGCTGAACACAACACCCGTTCCAAGACCATTGACGAAGCCATCCTCCGCCTCACCCAAAATCAAACCATCCTCACCAACTCTCAGAACGAACTTAACTCTAAGCTCAATTCCATCATCACCCAGCTTTCTCAAGCTGACCCTCCTTCCCCCCCACCACTTACCAACTCTTCCACTTTCTTCAAGCCTCACATGAAGTTAGACGTCCCACGATTTGATGGTCATGAAGCTACGGGATGGATCTTTAAGATTAATCAATTTTTTGAATTCCATTCAACCCCGGATGACGATCGCCTCAAGGTGGTTTCCTTCTATATGGAAGGTGTCGCTCTCAGCTGGTTTCAGTGGATGCATAAGAATGGTATGATTCAATCTTGGCCCAGTTTTCTTCAAGCTCTTGAAACACGCTTTGCTCCTTCCTATTATGAAGATCCTCGCGGTCTTCTTTTCAAGCTCACTCAAAAAGGTACTGTTAATGATTACCTTACTGAGTTTGAACGATTGGCTAGTCGTATTGTTGGTCTTCCTCCTTCCTTTCTCTTGAGCTATTTTATTTCTGGACTCTCACCTGCAATAAAACGTGAGGTTTTGGCATTGCAACCTCTCACCTTTACGCAGGCTGCTACTTTGGCCAAGCTACAAGAGGATAAGTTTCAGGATTTGCGCAGTTCTGCACGGCCCCGCCCTTTTCTGCCACAACCACTTTCCTCCATCCCATCTGGTACTCCGACTCGCCCTCCTCCACCCTTACTGCCTTCTCCTCCCAAGACCAATTACAAGAAACTCACCCATGAGGAGATGCTAGCCCGTCGAGAGAAAGGGTTGTGCTACAACTGTGACGAAAAGTTTCACCCTGGACATCGTTGCAAGGCTCGCTTCTTTCTCTTAGTTGCTGAGGTTCCTGATGATGAGACTTCCATTGCCTTGGAGCCTTTGACGGATCCTGACCCAGATCCCCTATTCCTTGAAAATGCACCCCAAGAGCTCTCTTCAGCCCAAATAAGTTTCAACGCCTTATCGGGCCTTCCCGCTCCAGAAGCCCTTCGACTATTGGGTCTTATCTCTAAGAAGCAAGTGACGATCTTAGTTGATGGGGGAAGCACGCATAATTTTATACAGGATCGTGTGGCTAAATTCCTCAATCTGCCCATGCAACCCACACCTCCTTTACAGGTGATGATTGGCAATGATAGTGTTATTGAATGCCTTCATGTGTGTCCTAATGTGCAGGTCTCCATTCAGGATCACGTTTTTGTTCTGGACTTGCATGTTCTACCTATTAGTGGTGCAGATGTGGTGTTCGGCATCCAATGGCTTAAGCCATTAGGCCTGTCGCCGCCGTCTCAAAAGAGAGAAGGTCGGTCGGAGCGACGCGATGGTTTTTTCGACCCTCTTTTATTTTCGCGTTTTTCATTGGTGGTTACAACGCCTTTAGGTTGTCCGATAACCGGGCTAACCTAGGGGCGAGGTTTTCGAAAGTATCCCTGGGTTGTCCGATAACCGGGCTAACCCAGGGACTTATTTAATTTTGGGTTCTATGGAGTCGCCACCGATATTTTTACCATAAACATCGGAAAAGGGGTTTAAAAAGGCGTTGGTTTTCGAAAACCAACTTTGGTCATTAGAACCAGAGTTGGGTAAGGGAGTTAGTTACGTGTAAAGGAAGTGTTAGTTCCTTTACGACGCCCCTTTCGGGTTCCCTATGATAGGTCGGCTACCTTGAATAATTAAACTGAAAAAATGCGCTTTTACCCTTTTATTATGCAGAATTTAAGTTTATGACTACATGGCCCTAGCTTCTATTGCGTAATTTAAATGGCAGTAATAAAAATAGAGAGGGAGAATGTGCACCTCCAAAGCAAGCTTTATATTTAAAAAGAGAGGGTGCGTTTTGGCAACCCTTCACTCTACAACTCTCAGAAACTCCGGAAATGCCTCGGAGGGATTCTAAAGAAGATTTAGAACGCTCAGTTTATGCCTAGAGACACTCAGAAACTCCGGAAATGCCTCGGAGGGATTCTTAGAGAGAGAAAGTCTAGAGAGAAGGGAGAGCTTCTTGGATTCTGTGTGGAAATGAGGGGGGGAGGACCCCTATTTATAGTTTTTCGCGCCTGACAGGTCGAGACCGCCGTTCTCGTCTGACAAGGTCGAGACCGCCGTCTGGAAAATCCAGACCGCCGTCTCGACCATGCAGGGGGTCGAGACCGCCGTCTGGAAAACCCAGACCGCCGTCTCGACCTTTGCAGGAGTCGAGACCGCCGTCTGGAAAATCCAGACCGCCGTCTCGACTTTGCAAGAGTCGAGACCGCCGTCTGGAAAATCGAGACGGCGGTCTCGTCCTGGCGTTGAGACGAGACGGCGGTCTGGTCCTTCCAGACGGCGGTCTCGTCCCTTCAGGGCGAGAAACTTTATTTTCGGGCCAAAAAGCCTTCCTATCTTGGTACGGGAGCCTAATAGTCTCTCCTAATGACTTGTTAAGCTTCGGTCGTCTTCAAATAGGACGCTTTCTGACTTTATTTGGAGGCCGGGCAAGATTTGGGGTCTACAGCTGCCCCCCCTTTACCCGACCAGTCGACTGCTAGCCTTTTGTGCTGAGGTGATCGACTGGAGGGTAAAGGAGTTGACCCTCTTGCCCGGTTTCCCTTCAGATACTCCGTCTTTGCGGCGGATGACCTTCTGGGGAGATGTGTTGTGCGCTTCCGGGATGCTCCTTCGACGCGGTAGCTGACCCCTTCGGCTGATGAGTACGAACCCCCATCTGGTTTGACGAGTACTAACCCCCGCCCGGTAAGCCCCCTTTTGTAAGGCCTGATGAGTTTACACCCCCATCTGGTGTTTGACCTCCGGATGCTCCTTCGACGCGGTAGTTGATCCTTCGGCTGATGAGTACGAACCCCCATCTGGTTTGACGAGTACTAACCCCGCCCGGTAAGCCCCTTTTTGTAAGGTCTGATGAGTTTACACCCCCATCTGGTGTTTGACCTCCGGATGCTCCTTCGACGCGGTATCTGATCCTTCGGCTGATGAGTAGAACCCCCATCTGGTTTGACAAGTACTAACCCCCGCCCGGTAAGCCCCCTTTTGTAAGGCCTGATGAGTTTACACCCCCATCTGGTGTTTGACCTCCGGATGCTCCTTCGACGCGGTAGCTGATCCTTCGGCTGATGAGTACGAACCCCCATCTGGTTTGGCGCCTCTGGATGCCCCTTCTTGCGGTAGCTGATCCTTTGGCGATGGTGGCGGCTTACTGATTCTGATCATGCGCCGTCTTCCTGGAGAGTGATTTTTTGTGTTTGTGGTTTGGACCTTTCTGGAATGGTCATCCGGGCTGCGCCGGGGATTTTGTGGGTTGTTCATCCAGCTCCGTTGGTTGCTGGGGATTTTTGCTTTTAGCTTTTGTGGTGTTTATCCGACTCTTGCTGGTTTGGTCGGGTTTTCTTTGTTTTTGTGTTCAACTCTTGGTAGTCGATTTTTATTGGTGAAGGTAGTTGTTTTAATCCTGCCTTTTTCTCGCGGTTTTATCTCTTTTTTCTCGCGATTTTGGATTCTGGCTTTTTATTGAGCGTGTGCCTTTTTTCCTTTTAAGTTTTTTTGTTACGCTGACTTTTTTGTAAAAGAAGGCAAAGAATGCATGGAATAAAATTTTATTCATGGAAATTTTTATTACAGCAGCTTTTATTTTAACCAGTACAGTCCCTAAGAGTCATCATCCGAAGGGGTGCGGTAGGGAAAATGTTTATACATGTGGTAACGGAAGTCGATTTGTTCCTGGACTTCATCGTTGTAATCTTCCTGGAACGTCGCCCACTCCTGCCGCATCCTCTGCTGCTCTTGGCGGATCTCATTTTGGCCCTCTTGAAAGGCCTGTTGGCGAACGTCTTGGTCCTGCCGCCACTGGGTCTGCTGCTCTTGCCATATCGCCATTTGGCCGAGCTGCTGGCTCAGATCGTT